GTGCCAAATTATCAGGCATTTTTGTATTTGAATATGACATAGCGATGACCCATAAACTCTTGCTTCATGTAGTTTTCCTCAAACACAAAATAATGGGCCAAAAATTTTATTTCCGAAGTTCTCTGACTCCAACCCTTATTCCAGAACCTGCTCCAGCTACCGTAGCCCGACAGGGATCCGCCCTAAAACCTCTCCCCGAAACCGCCTTAAATCCGTGGCTGATAGTCTCTAAATCCTTCAGGACCCAGTTTCAGGACTTCAGGAAAGTTTCATGTGTTATACCAGTAGTGTAACATTTCGTTGTATTGTACAGTATCTATTCGTCACATATTCGCCCTAAGAATCACTTTTTTTAGCGAATAAACTTTAAGGATCTAGATGTCGAATAGTAATCAGAAAAAGCTGAAATGAGAAACTTGAGAAAATGAGAGATATATCATGAAATGATAGAGATCAATAAAACAATTTCTCTAGAGTACAGCAACCTCTGCACATATAAAGTTAAAAGTTAATAAAAGCGTGTGAAGGCCGGTGAAAGACGAGTATTTCGTAATCCTCGTGCAAATGTTATGGTGACGATGGTGCTATTTTTTGGAATAAATTTGTTCTAAAGAGATTTTGATTAAATTTGATGTTTCTTACAAACTCTAATTTCTTTTTCATCAACCTAGTATTAGGTTGACAAGTTATAAACGATCGCTTTAGGCAACAACTTATTTATTTCATAGGACGCAAAAAAAAGAACTTTAATCCAAAAGTAATTCGCCATTATTATCGTTGGCTACTTAACATCTTTGGCGCAATTCCTGGATACCATTCTCAAAAAACTGAGCGTTCTTCTCGGCAAAGTAGAAATACACTATTTGCGTTGTCTTGCAAAAAACGGACCTTCGAGGGATTGATGCCGAAATTCTTCAATGAGTCACTAACTCTGATCAACTGTTTTGAGTAGAGATCAGCATCGATGTTCTGCATAGGATTCACTAACTCATAGTACACCAAACCTTCAGAATTCCACCAGCAACAAAGCATAATCTTCTTTCCATGAATATCGGGTTTTCGGGTAGTTTGAGGAGCTTGGCCTGACGATAACCATTGTTTCTTTCATGTTTTATTATTGACATAGATCCAAGTTTCATCAGAAGTTAAAATTGAATTCCGGAAACCTCCTTTGCACTTGTGAAGCAAAATGAGCTGATGTCGGGACGGGTCGTTTTGTTCGGAAGGCATAGACGTGGAAGAATCCTCGACTTCTAGAAAAATTGGGTTCTGAAGGAATTCGAGACTATCAGCCACGGATTTCAGCCGGTTGTTGGGAGAGGTTTTAGGGCGGAGCCCTGTAGGGCTACGGTAGCTGGACCAGGTTCTAGAATAAGAGCTAGAGTCAGAAACGTTCCAGCTTCAAAACTCCAATAAATTATTGTATTAGACCCAATTTCCTGATCCTAAACCTCGTAGAACTTGCCACTGAGAAAAACCTGGAAAAAAGGCTATAAACCTGCCGAGAAAGTGAGCCATTTGATTGGATCGGTGAAAATTTCAATGAAGTGAAAAAGCAAAGGCAAACGTGTGTCAGAACATGGCAAAAGAGGTATGGAAAAAAAATTAAAGGAAAATTTATTTGATTTCGAGGCTTTTGACCCATAACTTTTTCTGGCTTAGAGATCTAAAGAAACCATTCTGATTTCAAGAATCTAGACAAAGTTTGCGAAAAGCAATTAAATGAATCCATCAGCATTTGAATCTGAAAGTCGGACCTCCCCTTTTTTCAGTGTAAAACGACTTGTTTTTGGAAGGTTTCTCTTTTCGTCAAATCATACCGATAGTGTAAGATCTCACTGTAGTGTGAGTTCCTGTTTAAGAAAAGTAATGTGTTATAGCGATAGTGCAACATTTTATTATATTGTACAGTATTTATTCCTCAAATACATCATATTTTGGTCTTAAAGAGCCAAACATTTCGCAGCGAATAAACTACCTAATCTAGATGTGAAACCGTCAGAGAATCAGTAAAGGTTGTAAGGAAATACCTGAAAAAAAGAGAAACATATCATGAAATTGAACAACTTGACGATCAATAAAAGAATTTCTCTAGCCTAAAGTGTTCGCTGAAGATGCTATTTCATAGCGAAAAGCGTGTGGAGGCCGATGAAAGACGGAATTTTCCGAAAAAGAAACACAAAAAGTCGGAAACAAAAAGTGCAAACAGTTTGTAGCTCGTCCTTACCGTTTTCTAGACCTGAGAACCCGGTTCGCAATGGAAAATCGGGTTTTTCAAGGCTTGGACCCATCACTTCTTTTGGGTTAGAGGTCTAAAAAACCGTTCTGCTTTCAAGAATCTAGTCGGTATTTGTGGAAAAAATTGTTTGGGTGTAAAGAAATCATTTATTTATTCGTCACATATTCGCCCTAAAACACATTCTTTATCAGCGAACAAACTTTAAGGATTTTGATGTCAAGTAGTAATCATAAAAGAATGAAATGAGAAACTTGAGAAAGTGAGACACATATCATGAAATTGCACAATTGGACCATCAATAAAATAATTTCTCTAGAGTACAGCAACCTTTGCGCATGCGAATTTGATAACAAAAAGCGTGGGGAGGCCGATGCAAGTAAAGGATCTCGCGCTCCTCCCCAACTACTTCCTGCTTAACAAGTGGAATGTGAGCCTGAAGGAATATAGAAGTGAGTTGCTCATATCTCCGATCTCCCCTCCTTACGTGATCCCCGTAGAATTCAATGCCAAGATAAGCATCGAAATGATTGCTCCACACGAAGAATCTCACACAATTTACGAAGTCCTCCCAATTATCGTGCAATAGTCTGAGCCGCACATTTTCTTTCATTAACGAGAGATGTTCTTTGATAAGTTCAAAGGGAAGAGAGCCCAAACAGAGACGTTCACAGAGCGCCCAGCGATTCTCCATAAATCGCAAAATTTCACGATCAACGTCAACAGAAATATCACGATTGCCAATTGGAAAAGCGATTCTCACGCCTTTGCACACTTGGATTGTATTATACATTGAGAGCAGCGAGCGAGTGAGGCTTGAATCTCTATTGAATTCGAAGGCCACGTGGTCCAAAGGTTTTCTCTTATTGAGTGGCAAAAACTTTCGGACATCAAATTTTGCGGAACTCGTCTTGTTTTCACCAAAACAATGTATTCTCACAGCGGCGAAATGTGCGAGCTTTCGAAAAAAGTCGCCCGTGAAGGGAATTCACTCGCACGGTCACACTTCCACGCCATGGCATCTCGTCGCTCAAGAAAGAAAGCCAAAAGTTATCTACTTGTGACAAACTTTGATATGATAAACAAATGCCAATCTCACTTGCCACAATTCGTCCGTTGTCCTCATCTATTTTCGCGTGGAACAGCTGCACTTCAACACGCCGAACATTTGACGAGATTGGCCCGCAAAATAGGACGAATGAGCGCAGATCGTGATTCACTTTCAGTAATTGAAGTGCCTCAAACACCTTCAATTTATGCAGAATCCGTGTTTTGAGAAAAGACGGCAAAGAAGGGAAACCTTTGAAAGTCATCAATTTCTTTTGTTAGAAAAAAGAAAGAAACTGTTTTTTTTTGTTTCCAAAAAGTTATATGTTTGGATGATTGAGAGAGAATGCTGAAGGAACTGAAGGGAGGAAAATGCCCGAAGCAAAGCAGCGCGAACGTAATTGGAGTCACACTTTGCCCTCGGTTTGAAAGTTTCACATCTGCTCTCAGAATCAAGAAGAGTGTGAAAATTCACCAAAAAAATAAACATGGCGATTCGAAAAAGAAAAGTAAAAGCCGGACAACGGAAACCGGTACTGTACTTTAAATTTCCATGGAGATATGCAAATTATTTCACATTTCAGCTACCTTTTAGCTATGAAATTGGTTCGGCTTGGAATTTCCCCCCCCCCCCCCATACCAGAGTTCAGCGAGGTCAGACCAAGGAGCCAAGTTAGGACCAGGCCCAAGTCACCAGGGCAGGTCAGTTAGAACCACAGTGTCTAGGTAGACTAGATAGCTTACTCTGTATAGGGTGTCCCATATACAGGGTGCTCCAAAAAAAGTCAGTTCAGCTCGATTTTCTAAGAATTGATTGCTAATGGCTAATGACTGCGCGAAATTTTCGCTTTTCGTCAAATAATGAGGCATTTGTGCATTTGAATCTGACATGCTCCTGATTTCCAAAAAGCTAAAATCACTGGGTAAAATAAACAGTTTTGCATTTTTTCGTTGGTAATATCACAATCGAATTTAACCTCCCGTCCAAACATTGCAGAATAAGGTGATTGTCGAATTCCAGCATGGTGTCTAAAGGAAAATGATTGTGAAAAAACTGAAAGTTGTTTTACCTTATATTTTTCAGATATGGAATAATCGGGAGGTGAATGGTCCACGCCGAAGTGTTGTTTTCTCTTTGATTGGTGCCAAGGATATGCTGAAAAGAGCCAAAGATTTAAAAAACAGTAAATGCCTCATGTAATCAGTTAAAACCTGTAAAACTACGTCAATATCAGCGTTTGCGCAAACACTCATCTTTGCAGCGATACGAACCGACTACGGTAGCTGAACCGAATTTTAGGACTACACTAATACGGGAAATTGAGACGAAAAGAAATACATTAGCTAGATATACGGTAATTCACGTAGATCAACGTATTACGTTAATATTTGGTTCACAATAGATTTCTTGTAGTTTCTTCTTCTAAATCAATAGATAATGATTAAAAACAACCAAAGTTTAATCTACCTTAATTTTGAGAAAGATGGCGAAGAGAGCTAAATTCTTCGTGAGGAGCAATCCTTCCAATCGTTTCAATGCTTATCTTTGCATTGAATTCTTTGGGGTTCAAGCGAGGAGGGGGATCTGAGATACGAGCACCTAACTGCTATCTTCCTTCACGCTCACATTCCGCTTGTTAAGAAGGAAGTATTTGGGGAGGATGATAATATCACTGGAGAAAGTTATGAACCTTTAAAGCAAGCTACCCATTCCAAGATGCCGCCTATTTCCGGTAGCTCGGACGAGCCCGTGTGGTCGGCGCTCATCGGGCACTGCCCGCGCACTCTCCGTTTGCCACCGACGGACAACTCCAAGAATACTAGGAGGAATCAGTTAGATTTTTGAGATTTTAAGTTACTAATTTGCATATTAGACCAAAATATTCATACCTATGTTCTTTTTTTAGTATGGATACACATTCCACCACGGGATCCCGATTTCTACTATGATATCAAGTTCAACGGAGTGAGGCACACGTTCTTGTAAGTTTTCCACTTGCAGCTGCTTAATTTCAGCTTTCTTTTCTTATCGTTTTTAATTTATTTGGTTTCCCTTTAGATATCCGTATTTCTTTGTGTGGGCGCAAAAGCCAAAGCCAATCCATTTTGTGGCCCCAAAGGAGCACGAGAGAAATGTTTGTTTAGAACTTTTTGGTTAGATTAGTGATTTAATGGTCCATGTTCTTAAAGTTCATCCAATATCGCTAAATTTCAGGCATGCAAAGAGTTTCTCGTGTCGTTGAAGAGCTGTTGTCAGGGACGAGTGATTGATGGCTTCGAAGTTGATGGCGGGGCTTAGAGGAAGATTTGATAATCTAAAATTAAGCATTTTGTAATGCAAAGATAAGATTTCGGCAAATTGAACCCCGTCAAATTTTCCGTTTTAGTTAGACTCAAAGCCGGCGAATTGAACAAGATCACCGCGTCTGTGGCCTCGTTGCAGCAATAGCGACAACGAATGGTGCCGAGACTGGTGTGTTTGTATTTTGTTATTAATCAAATCTCTATGATGCAATGATGCAATCTCTATGATACGTCGTAAATCTTAAAATTTTGACTCTAACAAATTATTGTACTTGACCGGATTTTCTAATCATAAGCCTCGTTGAACTGTTTGGGCTGAGAAAGACTTGAAAAACGGCGATTAACAGATTTGATTGTGATTGATTAACAGATTTGAAATGTTTGCCTCTTTAAGACAAAAAAATGATATAGGTGACGAATGTGTTCAAATTGAGCAGCAGCAGCAGCGTTTTCTCGGTTGGCAATGAAGTGGCAGAAATCTAAAAGAGTCAATTTCAAGCTGTTTGCATCATTGAAAATCAAAAGTTACTTGTTTTTTTCGGCAAAGGCAAAGGCGTAAATAACGAGACACTTTTCTTGAAAAAAGGAGAGAGAAGAGATTACCTACGCGCTTACTTTTATGTCCTACAAAAAGTAGTAACCAAAATATTATTTCTGATATTTTTTCCCTTGTTTGTTTTGTCCATGTATGAGCCCCGAGAAGTATTATCTACTAGGAAAATTATTTTATTGATGGTCCAATTGTGCAATCTCAAGATATATGTCTCATTTTCTCAAGTTTCTCATTTCAGCTTTTTCTGGTTACTACTTGACAGCTGGATCCAGAAGTTTATTCACTGAAAAAAAATGTGATTTTTAGGGCTAATATATGACGAATAAATAAATGACGCTTGATTTCCTTACTTCCAAACAATTTCTTCAAATCTTCAAATCACAATGGTTTTTTTAGATTTCTAACCCAGAAAAAGTTGTCGCTCCAAACCTCGAAAAACCCGATTTTTCGTTGCAAACCAGGTTCTCAGCTCTAGAAAACGGTAAGGACGAGCCACAAACGATTTTCACTTTTGGAATCGGGATATTGAAATAAAACACCTTTTTTATACTTCTATCGAGGATAGTAGAACTTTTAAACGATCCTCAGGGAGCCTCAGGGAGTCCCTCCAAATCGTGGTGGTAAATCGCATCAAGCTTCTTGGCCAAGTTAATGTTGTGGTTGATTGGAGGTGGCGGTAGAGGAGAAAGAGGTCACGGTTGAAGCGGATATTGTTGTGAACGGCGTCTATCCATTTCAGATGTAGATAATACTTCTCGGGGCTCTTCGGATCGGTAGATAAGGGCACGTCAATTCTCGAAGTGAACACAGAAAAGTCCTTCAAAAGCTTTGTCCTTCAAAAAAGAACAATAACGCAAATAGGTAGTTTCACGGTGAAAGGAATCGTGCGGAAACGGCAAAGAAAAAGAAAAAGAAATGTAGATAATATTTCTCGGGGCTCTTCGGATCGGTAGATGTAGAAGTAGAGTTGCACTATCTCGCAAACTTGGGCACAGTATTGTGTTGTGTTGTGCCGAGCGATGAGATCTATCCGACTGGATCAACTCGATGAGGTTTTATCGAATCGTTATCAACCTATTATGATACATTCTGAGGGCAAAAGCGATAGCAAAATGTGACTTCAATTACAAATTTGCCATTCTTTTCATTTTTTCATCATTCCCTGATGGAATCTTGAATGTTCTTTGGTTTTTATGCCGAGTCCCGCTTGTTTCTTCTCCTTGATAAAATTTAATATGCTTTGTGACGTGTTTTTAAAGGATTCCCTTTTCCCATCGTTCGTTCCCTCCTTTTATATTCTTCTACCCATGTCCCACGTTGAAATTTTGATAATGGTTTTGTTTTATTTCCCTCGGCTCCTTTCCACTCCAATGTCTTCGAATCTTTCTGAAGCCGAAAGCCGTGTTACTCGGTCGAACCGTCGAGATCGAGGGTGGGCTCTCATCGGGCGCTGCCCGCACACTCTCCGTTTGCCACCGACGGATAACTGCAAGAATACTAGAAGGAATCGGTTAGTTTTTTTGAGGTTTTAGGTTACTAATTTACAGATTAGACCAAAATGTTCATACCTATGTTCTTTTTTAGTATGGATACACACTTCCACCACGGAATCCCGATTGCTACTATGATGTCAAGTTCAACGGAGTGAGGCACTCGTTCTTGTAAGTTTCCTAGTGGTAACTGCTTAATTTCTTGTTCAAATTTACGTGGTTTCCCTTTAGATATCCGTGTTTCTTTGTGTCGGCGCAAAAGCCAGAGCCAATCCATTCTGTGGCAGCAATGGAGCACGAGAGAGATGTTTGTTTAGAAATTTTTGATTAGATTAGTGATTTAATAGTCCATGTTCTTAAAGTTCGTTCAATATCGCTAAATCTCAGGCATGCAAAAAGTTTCTCGTGTCGTTGAAGAACTGTTGTCAGGGACGAGTGATTGGTGGCTTCGAAGTTGATGGTGGGGCTTAGAGGAAAAGTTGATAGTCTAAAATTAAGCATTTTGCATGCAAAGATAAGATTTCAGCAACTTCAACACCGTCAAATTTTTCGTTTTAGTTAGACTCAAGGCCGGCGAATTGAACAAAATCACCGCCTCCGTGGCCTCGTTGCAGCAACGGCGACAACGAATGGTCCCGAAATTGGTGTGTTTTTGGTGAAAAAAGCACGTCTTCATCCAGCGCAAATACTTCCTTCTTAACAAGCGGAATGTGAGCCTGAAGGAAGATAGCAGTGAGTTGCTCGTATCTCAGATCTCCCGTCCTCATTTGTTCCCCATGAAATTCAATGCAAAGATAAGCATTGAAACGATTCGAACGATTACTCCTCACGAAGAATTTCACACAATCCACGAAACTCTCCCAATTCTCGTGCCATAGTGTGAACTCAACGTTCTCTTTCATTAACGAGAGATGTCTTTGATAAGCTCAAATGGAAGAAATTGCAAACAGAGACGCTCACAGAGCGCCCAGCGATTCTCCATAAACGATGCAGAAATTCACGATTAATGTCACCAGAAACATCAGGATTGCCAGGTCGAAAATAGATTTGCACGCTTTTGCATATTTGGATCGCATTATATTAGGTTGATGCAAAAGTCTTTTTCATTTTTTTCGTACTTCTGTTAAAAAGTAACAAATTCATCAATTAATCTATGGTTTGCTCTATAAAAAAAGTGTTTTTTTGTTCAATTTCCATCTTTTTAAATCAATTTCGGTTCACTTTCAAGCAAATTCGAGAGTGAAAAACGCCTTTTTCGTAAAAATCTATAAAAAACTCTACGGAAAAATTGGCTGAATGAATTTCTCTGAAATTTTGGCCATATATCAAACTTTTTTTGCTCTATCTTTTATCTATTGACACGAAGATAGGTTTTCTTTAGCTAAGGTGTCTAAACCGCATCATCGAGTTAGCCCTTTTTGACTACCCGACTTCATACTCTCAAGAAAATCCAGGCATAAAATATTTTTAAACCCGTTTTAATGTTATTTTGCAGAAAAATAATTGGTTTTTCTAATGAAATCAACCGTAGTTTAATTGGTGCATTTGTTGGCTTGAAACGGCAGACGAAAAAAATGAAAAACACTTTTGCATCAACCTAATACATTGAGAGAAGCGAGCGAGTGACGCTTGAATCGCTATTGAATTCGAAGCTTACGCGTTCCAAAGGCTTTCCCTTATTAAGCGGCAAAAACTTCTGGACATCAAATTTTCGCGAAATCGTGTTGTTTTCAATACAGTGTATTTCCAAATTGGCGAAATGTGCGAGCTTTCGAAAGAGTCGCCCGTGAAGGGGATTCACTCTCACGGTCACATCACTTCCACGGCACGAGACCTCGTCGCTCAAAAAAGAAAGCCAAAAGTACTCTGCTTGTGATTTATTGTGATAAAATAAATGAATGCCAATCGCACTTGCCACAATTCGTCCGTTGTCCTCATCTATTTCCGCGTTGAACAGTCGCACTTCAACACGTTCGAAAATTGAGGGGATTAGCGCACAAAATAGGACAAATGAGCGCAGATCGTGATTCACTTTCAGCAATTGATGTGCCTCTAACACTTTCAATTTATGCAGAATCCCTGTTTTGAGAAGAGACGGCAAAGAGGGGAAACTTTGGAAAGTCATCAGTTTTTTTGTTAGGGAAAAAGTTATGTATTTGGATGAAGGCTCGGAAGGCTAAAGGCGAGGAAAATGCCCAAAGCAAAGCGGCGCGAACCTAATTGGAGTCACATTTTGTCTTCTCTTTGAAAATTTCACATCTGGTCTCAGAAGCAATAAGAGTGTGAACATTCACCACAGACAAAATCAATAGGGGATTCGAAAAGAAAAGGAAAAGCCGAAAAATGGAAGACGGGTTTTGTACTTTTCGAGAAAAGATGCAAATTACTTCGCACTTTAGTTACCGTATATTCAGGCTCAGTTGATTTCACACAATCCACGAAACTCTCCGAATTATCGTGCCCCAGTGTGAGCTGCAAATTTTCTGTCATTAACGAAAGATGTTCTTTGATAATGTCAAAAGGAAGAAAGATCAAATAGAGACTTTCACAGAGCGTCCAGAGATTCTCCATAAATCGCAGAACTTCACGATTAACGTCACAAGAAACATCACGATTGCCATGTGAAAAATGATTGTCATTCTTTTGCAGACTTGGATCGCATTATACATTGAGAGAAGCGAGCGAGTCACGCTTGAATCTCTATTGAATTCGAAGGCTACGTGGTCCAAAGGCTTTCTCTCATTGAGCGGCAAAAACTTCTGGACATCAAATTTTGGGGAACTCGGCCTCTCTTCAATACAGCGTATTTCCAAATTGGAGAAATGTGCGAGCTTTCGAAAAATTCGCCCGTGAAGGGGGACAGATCGGGAAAAATGCAACCCTATCAATAAAGTGTATAATGAATAAAATTAAAATTTGTGGTTATTGGACTAGTTTATTATGCACCACCATGCCCGTGGTGCTTCGGTTAAACAATGAGATTTGGGTAAACGACTACTTTCATCATTAATAGTTCTTCGATAAGAAGGTCCACAATCTGAAGCAACATTGGAGGGATGTTATGATAACGATGGTGCTATTGTTTGGAAAAAATTGTGATCTAAAGAGATTTTGATTAAATTTAATGTTTGTTAAAAACCGCAATATCTTTTTCATCAACCTAGTAGAACCTCTTCTCACTTTTCCCATGAAGATACTATCAACGATTCAAAGTCAACTATTTCCATTCACCTCTCTACACTACACTTCTCATTTATTCAAAAATCCCTCCCTGGTATCTCAATAAAAAACTTTTTCCAAGATGTAAAGGTGCGCCCATTTTTTGATTACAAATTTGAGGTGGTTACTGGGAAAGATTTTAGAGCGGATATCTGTCGGGTTACGGCATGCTTTAGGGCGACAATCCTAGTCGGAAATTTTCGAAGGTTCTAAAACTCTAACAAATTATTGGACTGGACCTAATTTCCTCATTCTGAGATTAGAGTTGGAATCAGAAATGTTTTACCTCTAAAACTCACTGACTCATTCACGTAGTCGATCCAATTTCCTAATCATTAGCCTCGTTGAACTGTTTGCCGCTGAGAAAGACTTGAAAAGCGGCTATTAACAGATTTGATTGTGGCCGATTGTGGCAGATTGGATTGGATCGTTAAAGGTCAATAAAATGAAAAGAAAAGCCAAACGAGTGTCAAAACATGAGAAACCAGGTATGGGAAAAGCTACGTTGCTCAAAAGATACTAGATGCTCAAGAAGACTTCGAAAAACTGTCTTGATGCGGCCACATCTCGGCATACGACTCTGCTTCAACCCTTGACTCCGTTGTTTCATTTTCTCTATTCGTCAATGGAATAAACAAGATTTCATCGACTATTTTCTACTCCCTCTAGAAATCGACTCGCCCACTCCCGGATAAGCTCATCTCCCCCCGTAACGTCTGTTTCGTTTCTCTTTGCAAATGCTCACTCAATAATTTCACCAAAACGTCTTAGTTACATGCAATTTTTGTCCAGATCTCTCTCTTACGATGTTCTTGCCTTTTGTGAGACCTGGCTGACTGAAAACACTACATCTTCTATCTTAGACCCCGCCTCTAACTATTCCATAATTCGTTGTGACCGTATCTTTAATGATATCAAAGTTCGAGGTGGTGGTGTTATCCTATTCATTCGCCGTTCTTATAACTTCATCCCTGTTACTAGTCAATCAGTCTCAGGTTGCGAGATAATCATTGTTGATATATTCGCTCATTTAGATTCCCCCTCGCGTATTTTTATTGTTTATCGTCCCCCACATGTTAACAACCAGGGTTCTTTTCATCTTTTTACATTTCTTGAAGATTACTTGTTACCAAATCATCCAAATTTCCTTCTTGGCGATTTTAATTTTCCTTTAACTGTTTCTCTAGGACTTTTACCTAATTTATCGCGTTTTCCACATTTAAAAACTTCCTGTCAGCCAACAGCTTAGAAATTTGAAACAAATTCCCTACTTTCAGGAAACGTTCGCATATTTTGGACCTAGTTTTAACCGATTCCCCTCATTTAATTACTGCTATTTCACCATATCCTCCCATTGGTAGTGCCGACCATTTTTCTGTCTTTTAATTTAATTCTGCATCATTTTACCTCTCTAAAAGGACCGGATGATGGTAACCGTGCCTTTTGGAGAGGTAATTTCGGTTCTGTATGTCTTTCTTTAGCGCTCAACAATGCAAGGTTTCTGCCCCGATTGGAGATGGACATAAACGAGTGTTATGCTGACTTCTTTGAAGAGATGAAATCGCTGTTGGACGAAAATGTACCTATTTCAACCAGGTCTACCTTTTCTTACCCCAGTCACATATCTCGAGCTAGGCAAAGGTTAGAAACAGTTTGGCGTTATCGCGATTCCCCCCATTACGCATATCTAGAAAACAAGCTAAGTTTGTCAAAAAATTTGAGGCCAATATTGAACAGAAAGCCGTTTTTAGTCCTAGTCCCAAAGCTTTTTACTCATACGTCTATTCTAAGATTAATTTTGGAAAGACTCAACAATTTCGCCACTTTTTAAGAAAGGAGATCGGAACGCGCTTGCAAATTGTAGACCCATCGCGCTCACCTCCTCCATTTGTAAAGTCTTAGAGATAATTATTCGCGACCACATTATTCATTATCTAAATGAACCTAATCTAATTGATAAAAATCAATTCGGCTTTCTTAAAAACCGCTCTACCTCCGACCAGCTAGTTCTCTGCGCGCATGACTGGCTTCTAGCTAAAGCCAAAAACGATCAAGCTAGCCGCGTTTTCATTGATTTTTCCAAAGCATTCGATTCTGTTAATCATAGATTTTTAATCGCCAAATTAAATTCGCTAGGTCTCCCCATATCCATCACGAATTGGATTGCAAATTGGCTTACCGAAAGGACATTTCGCGTCCACTTAGGCTCTACCTTTTCGAATGACTTTCCCATTAGTAGCGGAATGCCCCAAGGAAGCGTTCTTGGTCCTCTGCTTTTCCTTATTTATATTAATGACATTGACAGTTCGATCTCCCTAGGCACAAAAGTCCGACTCTACGCCGATGACCTTAAAATTTATAGGGTACTTCCGTCCCAGAGCCCCATCCCTGATTTTACTCTTCTCCAGAAGGACCTTGATTCGATCCTTCTGAGAAGTAAATTTTGGAAACTTAACATTGCGCCGGACAAATGCAAACACGTTACATTCGGTTCATTACATATCCCTTTAAATTTGGGGGACCTACAATTACCACAAGGATTGGCCGATGATCCTGTAAAAGATTTTGGTATACTGTTAGTTCCCTCTCTAAAATTTGATCCTCACATAAACTACGTATCCAAAAAAGCTTCTAGAATTTCTAACATAATTCTTCGCGCCATTTGTTTCCCTAAAATCGCGACTTATCGCAGGGATTTTATAACCTATTGCCGGCCTTTGCTCGAGTATGCCATCATCGTTTGGTCACCTTCCATTAAGAAACTTATCACCTTGGTTGAAAGTGTCCAACGGCGTTTCTCTAAAAAATCATACACTCGTTGTTTCCCTTCTTCTCTTATTCCAAATTATGAGACTAGACTTATCGTTTTTGATTTGAAACCCCTTTTATATCGCCGTATTTACTTTGATCTTATTTTTTTGCTATAAAATTCTTTTCCAGCCTAAGTCGCATCCAGAATTTCATAGCCTCTTGAAAATTGTGGAAATCCCTAGAAGTACACGTAGTCATCCTTATCAAATTTCGGTCCGTTCTCATCCCCATCATCATCCCCATTATCATTCCTTTGGCGAACCGTCTTAGTAGGGTTTGGAATAAGCTCCGGTCCGGTATCTTCTCGTCTGTAGGAAAATTCAAAGTATCTGTAAACGAATTAGATCTTATTGCCATGTCAAATCTGCGTTATATTCAATCTATTTGTATCTATGTTTCCTAACTGTAGTCTTACGGTACCATTTTTAGTTTTCTTTCGTTTTTTTGTGAAAGTATGGTAGCAATAGGTTATATGCGGTTATGATTATTTGATTCGCTTCTATTCACCCCATGAATAAAGCATATACATATTTTACTTGAGAATGCACAAAAGAATAAAGTTTATCGAAAGCCCAAATTGTAGAAGCAATTCTGGGATTCACTTGTGAGAGTTGAGAGCGGTCAGGTGGTGGTCGTTGTTGAGTATTCGGAACATCAATGACGACTTGTGAAGCGTGTGATCTCTCCAGTTTCCTCAAAGGAGTGACAAAGGTTGTCTAAAAAGGAATTTTTCGAAATCCGAGGCACTTCTAGCTTATAAAGATCCAACCACTTTCTCGTTTTTAGGCTCAGTCCTGGGCTGGGAGAAGTGTTGAGATGGCATCGGTTTATTCTTCAGATCGAGAAGCGGTGTTCTCAGGGTTTTCCCGGTTGGCAATGGAGTGGCAAAGATCTAGAAGAGTCAATTTAAAGCTGTTTGCATCATTGAAATTTAAACGTTACCTGTTCTTTTTTGCAGCAAAGGCTTTGGCTTTGATGGTATCGCTTGGATGAGTTGAAAGGTTTCTCCAAATCTTTTCGGGATCACCGTCTGAGTCGTGAAAGGTGTCCTCTCTTTCTTTCGCTCAATCCTTTCCAATGGCCTCACTTCATCAACACGATCACCGAGATTCTTCCTGGCCATTGAAGTGTCCAATGATGTCTGAACGAAAACATTAAAGGATGTAGTATGATAGTCGTTTTTAAAGCACCAACTTCGATTTACAAGCCTTAAAACTTTCTTCACTATCGCTTATAGGCAGACCGGTCCTCTAGGCCATAAGCCTGGCGCTAAACTATACTTAAACTATACAAAATTTTTGAGGTCAGGCAGACCATAAAGCGATAAAAAGCTATGATAAAATCTTAACTCTAACCAACATGTTTAACTGCCTTTTACTAAATTTACAAACCCTCACTTTCGCCGCCACCTCGAAACTCCTTTTCAGCTTGTAGGAAAAAGACGATTTGACGAGCATTTGCGGTGGATTTTCGACACTTTTTGAAGCATCAGCGGCCAGATTCGAGAAGGAGACCTAGAAAAGAAGAAACCTGGATAAAGTCCTGCAAATTTTACCTGTTTAATTTTCATTTCTTTATTAGCCGGCTGTTCTTTCGTGAGTTGAGTGGCCGATTGTGGAACTTGCAAGGAGACTGATGGACCGGCGAAGGTTTTCTAAAAAAATGGTTAGATTTAAAATTGCTAATTTGGCATAAAATATCTTGAGACAGATTCGGGTGAAATTTAATATAGTACTGGAGAAAAGTATCAAAAATTTGCCAAATAATTAATTGAATACCTTTTCATTTGAGTGCTGAAATTCCTTTAGAGATCCTCGTTTCTTCTTCTCGAGTGGCTCCAAATCGCTTGTCAAACTCGCGTTGAAATCTCTCTAAACAAAAGTATTGAAAAGCACTTGAAATTTAGGATAATCTACTCAAAAGCTTATCCAATACAAAGCAAAGTGATAAAAGTCGCTAAAACGCACCTTTACCCAAGAGACTTTGCCATTTCAGCCGGAGAAACTTTCTGATATCGAAACGTCCGCTTGATACTCCCCAACAAGTTGGTACGAGAGCCTAAAGGATAGAATTCATATTTTTAGAGCCTAGTTTTAGCTTTTAAAACAAAAATCTACGCGTCGTTTCAAAAGTTTAAACCAACAAAATTCAAATAAACCTACTCGATAATTTGCTTGTCAGGAAATCTTCTTCACTTGACGAATTCTCCTCAACTTCCACGGAAGGTTTCCATCTTGGTGACGACAGTGGCAATTGTTGTTGCTGTGCGGCCTGTAGAACCTGGCAAGACTTCGCTTGGGCTGGTTGTTCCTTTTGTCATCGTTGCTGTGGCTGTTCTTGTGCCCTCAAAGTATTTTCTTCTGCTCGTTGTTGCAGTCTTGGCCCTTGTTGTGCTCCTTCTTGTCTTTGTTCTTGCAGCTTCATTTTTTTTTCGTCTTATCGACCACTTCAAGGAACATCCGGTCGAAATGGGCCCTGCAAATTTCGGAAATGAATTACTAATAGTTTCATAAAAGCCTAGGTTCTATGAGAATTGGAATCTCAAGTATTGGAAAAAATTTTAAGATTTACGTACCATAGAGATTTGATCAATAACAAAATAAAAATACCAATTTCGGCGCAGGTAATATGTTATACCAATAGTTTAACATTGCATTGCAGTCTACAGTATTTATTCGTCACATATTCGCACCAAAAATCACATTTTTTCCTTAAAGAGCCAAAGATTTTGCATCCAATCAAATACTTATTGTAGAAGTAAAATGTTAAACGAGTCAGAAAAGGCTGAAATGGAGAACCACAGCCATCATGAAATTTCACAACGTGACGATCAATAAAAGATTTCATCTAGGAAACACGAACTGTTGTACATCTTAATTTGATAGCGAAAAGTGTGTGGAGGCGAATGAAAGAAAAGCATTCGTAAACCCCCACAAATGCTTGCCTCTCAACGAGCGGAATGTAAGCTTGAAGGAAGATAGCAGTGCGTTGCGGAAGTGAAAGCAGAAGTGCAGAGTGAAGATAACAGACCTCCAATCGTTTTGTTTGCAAATTCTCTCCGATTATCTAAAAAAAATTAGAATTTCTTATTTGAAAGTTTTTGTTCCAAAAATGCCGTTTTACAAAAGCTTTGGCGCGCCAAATTTCAGAATATTTCTTTTAGATTGGCGCACACTTCTTGAGCAGTTTTTCCTTTCAAAGACCACAATAACACAACTTTTTTCATATGATCTAGATTTTTTATAAAAATATTTTGATTTTTGATCAAAAAACCTGATGCACCATAATGAACTCAAAGGCACCATTGGGCACTGCTTGCAAATCAAGGAGATCAAGTTGACACCGTTAGTTTGGGTGCTCGGTAAGAATTGGCCTGACGACTCTTCCTTTCTTTGGTGTGCGGTGTTTAATTTTACATTGTACACATTGTGAAATGAACACCTTGATGACTTCTCTAAAATAGTAATAAATGATTTAAAAGAAGTATCCAGTGGGGTACGAATTTAGTCTAACTTCAACCTATGATTGAGAGAGACTTCAATTTATGATTTTGAGACACTCCCCAGCGGATATTCCACAAGCGCCAAAAGAAATAAGTGACGCTTACTTTGAGATACCATACCAAATCCTTCAATGATTTCCATATCAAACCGGTTTCGAAAAAGTAGCACAATGCTCAGTGATTCGATATTGGATAAAGTCACCCAGCTACCAAATTCCTCTAATGAGAGTTCTATAACTTTATCCAGATTATCAAATTGTGCAGAAAATTTCCTTCTCGATTCTTTCTTAAAGCTCAGAGACCACGGCTATAAATTTCTGCAGCGAAACGAACGGACTACGGTAACTGTACCGAATTTTAGGACTACGCTAACCAGGGATATTGAGACGAAAAGAAATACATTAGCTGTTCCTTTGAACAGTGGCCTGGCTGCAGTAACCCAGTCAGTGAATGAACAGTTGTAGGCAGACTAAAAGACGTAGGAGCCAAGTATACCTGTATTTGATCCATAACTATTTCTGGGTTAAAGAGCTAAAAAACCATTGTAATTTCAAGAATCTAGCCAAAAATTGTGACAAATTCAATTGGGAGTCAAGGAATCGAGCAAACGGTTGATTCAGGATTCGAATCTGAAAGTTGCAAGTCGGATTTTGTCTTTTTTCCATTGTAAAGTGACTTATTTTGGAAGAGTTTTCTTCTCGATCACACCGATCGTGTAAGATTTGACTGTAGTGTAAGTTGACACTTTTTAAGGAAAGTTCGATATGTTATACCAATAGTGTAGCATTTCGTTGTTTTGTACAGTATTTATTCGTCACATATAATCACTTTTTTTTGTCTTAAAGAGGCAAACATTTTGCAGCGAATAAACTATCTAATCTAAATTTTAAATCGTAAGAGAATCAGAAAAGCTTGAAATGAGAAACTTGAGAAAATGAGACACATATCATGAAATTTCACAACCTGACGATCAAAAAAAGCATTTCTCTAATTCATACAAATCGTTGAAAATGCTGAAGCTTACAGTGATACTTGTAGATACTGATGTCATAAGGAAAAGCGTGTGGAGGCCGATGAAAGACGAGGCTTTCGTGATCCTCCCCAACTACTTTCCTCTTAACAAGCGGAATGTGAGCCTGAAGGAAGATAGAATTCAGTTGCTCGTATCTCAGATCCCCGCTCCTCACTTGATCGCCATGAAATTTAATGGAGAACCAAGCATTGAAACGAATGCTCCTCATGAAGAATTTCACACAATCCACGAAACTCTCCCAATTATCGTATGATAGCATGAACGAGGCATCTTGTTTCATTAACGAAAGATTTTCTTGGATAAGGTCAAAACGAAGAAATTCCAAATGGAGCCACTCACAGGGCGCCCAGCGATTCTCCATAAATCGCAGAATTTCACGATTAACGTCACCAGAAACATCACGATTGCCATCTGGAAAAGTCATTCTCACGCCTTTGCACAATTGGATTGTATTATACATTGAGAGCAGCGAGCGAGTGACGCCTGAATCTCCCTTGAATTCGAAGCCTACGTAGTCCAAAGGCTTTCCCTTATTAAGTGGCAAAAACTTCTGGACATCAAATTTTGGGTAACTCCTGGTAAAGCTGGTTTCAATGCAGCTTATTTCTAATTTGACAAAATGTGCAAGCTTTCGAAAAAGTCGCCCGTGAAGGGGACTCACTTGCACAATCGCACCTCGTGCGTACCTACCTCGCTCGCTATAGAACGAAAGCCAAATGTTATCATCTTGTGATATACTGTGATATAACATCTGAATACCAATCGCACTTGCCACAATTCGTCCGTTGTCCTCATCTCTTTTCGCGTTGTACAGCTCCACTTCAACACGTTCGAAATTTGAAGGGATAGGCCCGCAAAATAGGACGAATGAGCGCAGATCGTGATTCACTTCCAGCAATTGAAGTGCCTCAAACGCCCTCAATTTATGCAGAATCCGTGTTTTGAGAAGAGACGGCAAAGAAGTGAAGCTTTGGAAAGTCATCAATTTTCTTTTGTTAGGGAAAAAGTTATGTATTGGATGATTGGAGGGCTGAAGGCGAGGAAAATGCCGGAAGCAAAGCAGCGCGAACGTAACTGGAGTGACATTTTGCCTTCTCTTTGAAAATTTCACATCTGCCCTCAATAAGATAGAATCAATAAGACTGTCCAAATCACGGGTACCTTTGTTAGTTCCAAACGTCAGCAATTCAGCTCTAAAAGCAATATATATGGACGATCAAAAACAAGGGAAAAAATATCAGAAATAATATTTTAGTTATCACTTTTTGTAGGACATAAAAGCGTAGGTAATCTCTTCTCTCTCTTTTTTTTCAAGAAAAGTGTCTCGTTATTTACGCCTTTGCCTTGGCCGAAAAAACAGGTACCGTATTTACTCGAATAGAAGACCGGTCTTCTATTTTTTTCAATCACCCCTAGACTCCGTCTTCTATTCGAGGCCGGTCTTCTATAGCCAGACTAAAAGACGTATGAGCCAAGTATACCAATATTTGACCCATCACTTTTCCGGGTTAGAGACCTAAAAACATTGTCATTTCCAGATTTCAGCCAAAATTTGTGACCAAAATAGAATTGGGAGTAAAGAAATCAAGTGAACGGTTGATTCAAGATACGAATCTGAAAGTTGCAAGTCGCTTTTTTTAGTGTAAAATGATTTGTTTTTGGAGGGTTTTTCTTCTCGATCACACCGATAGTGTAAGATGTATTTAGTTCTGTATTTGGATGATTGGAGGGCTGAAGGCGAAAAAAATGCCCGAGGCGAAGCTGCGCGAACGTAATTGGAGTCATGTTTTGCCTTCGGTTTGAAAGGTTCACATCTGCTCTCGATAAGAGAGAATCAATAAGAGTGTGCAAATCACGGGTACCCTTGTTAATTTGAAATGTCAGCAACTCAAGAGTAGAAACCATATACATGGACGGAAAAAATCTCAGAAATAATATTTTGGTGATTACTTTTTGTAGGACATAAAAGTAAACGCGTAGGTAATCTCTTCTCTCTCCTTTTTTTCAAGAAAAGTGTTTTTTTTGAAAAAATTATTTTGTTATCTCTAGTTAAAGTTTATCTCTAGGTTCCCAAGTTCCAACTGCTTGAATTGAACCAATACGAATTCTGGGTTTTCGTGGACGGGATCTTCTCCTTCTTGATGATTTTCCCCAGAGTATGTCCGAACGAGGTGAGATCGTGGGAGTGAATCCCCTTCATGGGCGACTTTTTCGAAAGCTCACACATTACCGCGAATTAGATATACGCTGTTTTGATGAAAACAAGACGACTCCCCCAAAATTTGATGTCCAGAAGTTTTTGCCGTTTAATAAGGGAAAGCCTTTGGAAAGCGTATGCTTCGACTTCAATAGCTTTGAACGGTGCTCTTGGCGGCGCTATTAGGACTAGGTCCCCATTTTTTTACTTAAAAAGCCAAACATTTTGCGGCGAATAAACTACCCAATCTCGACGTTAAATCTTAGAGAATCAGAAAAGGCATTCCGTAATTGGAGTCACATTTTGCCCTTACTATTACTGTCAGAATGTATCTTATTAGATTGATATTACACAGATAAAACCTCGCCGAATCAATCCAATCGGATAGATCTCATCGCTCAGCACAACACAATACTGTGCCCAAGTTCGCGAGATAGTGCAACTCTACTTCTACATCTACCGATCCGAAGAGCCCCGAGAAGTATTATCTAGATCTGAAATGGCTAGACGCCGTTCTCAACAAGATCCGCTTCATCAGTGACCTCTTTCTCCTCTACGGCCACCTCCAATCAACTACAACGTTAACATGACCAAGATGTTTGACGCGATTTACCACCAGGTTTTGGAGGAACTCCCTGAGGCTCCCTGAGGATTGTTGAAAAGTTCTACTATCCTCGATAGAAGTATAAAAAAGGTGTTTTATTTCAATAACCCGATTCAAAAACTGAAAACCGTTTGTGGCTCGTCCTTACCGCTTTCTAGAGCTCACATCTGCTCTCAGAATCAATAAAAGTATGAAAATCACGGGTACTTTTGTTAATTTCAACTGGCACAATTCATGTAATCCAAAATAACAGGGGTTTCACTCACAAACTGACATCGTTCACCATAGACAAAATCAACATGGGGATTCGAAAAAGAAAAGAAAAGTCGGAGAACGGAAAACCGGTACTGTACTTTCAATTTCCATAAAGATATGCAAATTATTTCATATTTCAGCTATCGTACTCAGGCTCAGCCTAGCTTCACTATATAGGGTGCTCTAAAACAAGTCAGTTCAGCCCGATTTTCACAGAATTGAGCTAATGGCTTATGACTGCGTGAAAATTGCAAATTTTCGCTTTTCGAGACAAATGATGAGGCATTTGTATTTGAATATGACAGAGCGATGACCAGTAAACTCTTGCATCATGTAGTTTTCCTGAAACACAAAATAGTGGGCCAAAAATTTTGTTTCCGAAGTTTATCCTTAGGTTCGAAAGTGGACTGCAGCCGTCAAAGCGATGTTACCCGTTCTCACCTCGGTCCGCTCGAGAAACTCTTGCGTTCACCATTGAGTTCGTTGTTCACGAAGGCGCCTCTAGTTGTTGCCGTCAAACTTGATGTGCTATAGCAATAGTGTCACATTTCATTGTATTGTACAGTATTTATTCGTCACATATAATCACATTTCCCTCTTAATGAGGCAAACATTTGCATACCCGAGATTTGCACACTCTTATTGATTTTATCTTATTGAGAGCAGATGTAAAATTCACAAAGAGAAGGCAAAATATGACTCCAAGTACGTTCGCGCGCTTGCTTCGGGCATTTTCCTCCCTTCAGCATTTTCTCCAATCATTCAAGTACATAACTTTTTGCCTAAAAACCAAATTGATGACTTTCCAAAGTTTCCCTGCTTTGCCGTCTCTTCTCAAAACACGGATTCTGCATAAATTGAGGGCGTTTGCGGCACTTCAATTGCTGAAAGTGAATCACGATCTGCGCTCATTCGTCCTATTTTGCGGGCCAATCTCGTCAAATTCCAAAATTCTTCAAGTGCTGCTGTTCAACGCGAAAATAGATGAGGACAACGGACGAATTGTGGCAGGTGCGATTGGCATTGATATAATATATCACAGTATATCACAAGAAGATGGCTTTCGGCTTTCTTTCTCGAGTGACCTGAGTGTGTACGAACGAGGTGAGATCGTGCGAGTAAGTCCCCTTCACGTGCGACTTTTTCGAAAGCTCGCCCATTTCGCCGATTTGCGAATACTCTGTTTTGATGGAAACAAGACGAGTTCCACAAAATTTGATGTCCAGGAGTTTTTGCCGCTCAATAAAAGAAAGCCTTTGGAACGCCTACTCTTCGATTTCGATAGTGATTTAAGCGTGGCTCGCTCGCTTCTCTCAATGTATAATGCGATCCAAGTGTGCAAAAGGGTGGAAATCCTTGGTATTCTTGATGTTTCTGGTGATGTTAATCGTGAAGTTCTGCGATTTATGGAGAATCGCTGGGCGCTCTGTGAGTGTCTCCGTTTGAGCTCTCTTCCTTTTGAACTTATCAAAGAAAAGCTTTTGTTAATGAAAGAAAATGTGCGGCTCACACTGTTCCACGATAATTGGGAGAGTTTCGTGGATTGTGTGAAATTCTTCGTGAGGAGCAGTCATTTCAATGCTTATCTTCACATTGAACTGCGTTGGGATCACGTGGGGAGGGAGGATCTGAGATACGAGCAACTCACTTCTATCTTCCTTGAAGCTCACATTCCGCCTGTTGAGAAGGTAGATGGGTGGCTAAAACCCGGCTTTCATCGGCCTCCACACGCTTTTCGCTATGAAATTAGTATCTTCAGCGAACACTTTAGGCTAGAGAAATTCTTTTATTGATCAAGTTGTTCAATTTCATGATATGTGTCTCTTTTTCAGGTTTTTCCTTACAACCTTTTCTGATTATCTTATGGTTTCACATCTAGATTAGGTAGTTTATTCGCTGCGAAATGTTTGCCTCTTTAAGACAAAAAAGTTATTATATCTGACTAATAAATATTGTACAATACAACGAAATGTGACACTATTGGTATAGCCTATCGAACTTTCCTTTAAAAGCGTCAACCTACACTACAGTCAAATGTTACACTTACGGTGTGAACGAAAAGAAAAACATTCCAGAAACAAGTCATTTTACAATTTTACCAAAGAAAGGAATAGTCGTCAGGCCAATTCTTACCAAATAGGAGACGAAAGATGTCAACTTGACCTCCTTGATTTGCAAGCAGTACCTGATGGTGACTTTAAGTTCATTATGGTTTATCAGGTCTTTTAATAAAAAAAATGTTTTTATAAAAGAGATGATGAGATGCAATAATCTATGTTGTTGCGGCCTTTGAAAGCAAAAACTGCTCAAGAAGTGTGGGCCAATCTAAAAGAAATATCCGGAATTTTTGGCGGGCCAAAGCTTTTGCAAACAGATACTTTTAAGACAAGAGACAAGAGCTTTGAAATAAGAAATAAGAAATTATTTTTTTAGATAATGGGAGAGAATTTGCAAACAAACGATTGAAGGGATGGCTGAGAGTTGGCCAAATTGTCAATTAATTCACGGAAAACCTCGACATTCGCAGTCACAAGGGAATGTAGAACGCACCGTTAGTTATGATATCGAGTTATGATAGTGAGGCACTCGTTCTTGTAAGTTTTCCACTTGCAACGGCTTAATTTCGGTTTTCTTTTGCAAATTTATGTGGTTTCCCTTTAGATTTCCGTATTTCTTTGTGTGGGCGCAAAAGCCAGAGCCAATCCATTTTGTGGCGCCAATGGAGCATGAGAGAAATGTTTGTTTAGAAATTTTTGATTAGATTAGTGATTTAATAATTCATGTTGTTAGAGTTCATTCAATATCGCTAAATTTCAGGCATACAAAGAGTTTCTCGAGTCGTTGAAGAACTGTTGTCAGGGACGAGTGATTGGTGGCTTCGAAGTTGATGGTGGGTTTAGAGAAAAACTTGATAGTCTAAAATTAAGCATTTTGTAATGCAAAGATAAGATCTCAGCAGCTTGAACACCGTCAAATTTTCCGTTTTAGTTAGACTCAAAGCCGGCGAAACAAGATCACCGCGTCTGTGGCCCCCTTGCAGCAACGGCGACAAAGAAAGGTGCCGAAATCGGTGTGTTTTTATTTTGTTATTAATCAAATTTCTATGATGCAATAATGCAATCTCTATGATACGTAAACCTTCCAATTCTCATAGAACCTAGGCTTACTTTTATGAAGCCATTAGTAATTCATTTCCGAAATTTTCAGGGCCCATTTCGACCGGATGTTCCTTTAAGCGGCCGATAAGACAAAAAAAAACTGAAGCTGCAAGAACAAAGACAAGAAGGATCACAACAAGGGCCAAGACCCAAACAACGAGCAGAAGAGAATACTTTGAGGGCACAAGAAGAGCCACACCAACGATCACAAGAGGAACAACGAGCCCAAGCGTAGCCTTGCAAGGTTCTACAAGCCGCACAGCAACAACAATCGCCACTGTGGTCGCCAGAATGGAAACCTTCCGTGAAAGTTGAGGAGAATTTGTCAAGTGAAGAGGATTTCCTGACAAGCAAATTATCGAGTGGGTTTTTTGAATTTTTTTGTTTTAAACTTTTGAAACTATGGCTGTAACAATTTCTACCGTCTGTATCCGTAGATTTTAATTTTAGAATCTAGAGTTGGGCTTTCATGGTATAATTTATCTCTTTTCAGGCTCCCGTACCAACTTGTTGGAGAGTATCAAGCCGATGTCTGGATATCAGAAAGTTTCTCCGGCTGAAATGGCAAAGTCTCTTACCAAAAGGGTGCGTTTTAGCCAATTTCATGCATTTTGCTTTGTATTGGATAAGCTTTTGCATAGATTATGTTAAATTTCATGCAGTTTCCAATACTTTTGTTTAGGGAGATTTCAACGCGAGTTTGACGAGCGATTTGGAGCCACTAGAGAAGAAGAAGCAAGAATTTTGGGAGAGAATTTCAGCACTCAAATAAAAAGGTATTCAATTAATTATTTGGCAAATTTTTGATACTTTTCTCCAGTACTATATTAAATTTCACCCGTATCTGTCTCAAGACATCTTATGTTTGTATAGCTTAGGTATAGTTTAGCGCCAGGCTTATGGCCGAGAAGACCAGTCTGCCTAGACGCGATAGTGAAGAAAGTTTTAAGGCTTGTAAATCGAAGTTGGTGCTTTAAAAACGATTATCAGACTACATCCTTCAATGTTTTCATTAAGACATGATTGGACACTTCAATGGCCACAAAGGATCTCGGTGATCGTGTTGATGAAGTGAGGCCATTGGAAGGGATTGAGCGAAAGAAAGAAAGGACACCTTTCACGACTCAGACGGCGATCCCGAAGAGATTTGGAGAAACCTCCAACTCGTTCAAGCGGCACCACCAAAGCCAAAGCCTTTGCTAAAAAAAGAACAGGTAACGTTTCAATTTCAATGATTCAAACAGCTTTAAATTGACTGTTCTAAATCTTTGCCACTTCATCGCCAACCGGGAAAACGCTGAGAACACCGCTGGTCGATCAGAAGAATAAACCGATGCCATCTCAACGCGTCTCCCAGCCCAGGACTGAGCCTAAAAACGAGAAAGTGGGTGGATTTTTATAAGCTAGAAGTGCCTCGGATTTCGAAAAATTCCTTCTTTATTTTAGACAAACTTTGCCACTCCATTGATGAGGAGCCGCGGACATCACGCGCTTCACAAGTCGTCATTGATGCTCCGAACACTCAACAATGACCACCACCTCACCACTCTCAACTCTCACAAGTGAATCCCAGCCAACCATATCGAGTTGTGCTTAGCGATGAGATCTATCCGATTAGATCAACTCCGGTGAGGCTTTATCCATTGATTATCAATCTAATAAGATGACGGGGCTTGGCTGATCTACCTAGTTCTGACATGACCTACCCTGGTTTCAGACCAGGGATGTTTTAACCGGACTCCTGGACCTGTAAGCTAGGCGCTTACATCCTTATTAGGAAATCAAAACACAAAACCAGTTGAGGTTAGGCAAATTTATATCTTTACTTATTCTTGATTCAGAAATAACTTGATCCAAAAATAGATTGATCCATTCTATTTTCAGCGTCGTACGCCTCGCCGCATGCCGAACATCGAATTCTAGGATCGGGATCGATTTGGATTTGTGTTTCGTTAGCAAAATAGCTTTATTTCTTGATTCTCACAATAACCCTTATTCAGAAAATGGTGTCATATTTTGTTTCCCCCTTTTCTTTTTACCTCTCATCTTCAGCAAAATGTGAGATTTATTCAGAAAGCTGGTATCAACAAAAAGAAATGTGCTAAAAGTTTTTCATCTGTTTCCTTTGACTCATTTTCCTTTTTCTGTCGTTGGGTTGGGGCTGTTGATCTGTGCAAAAAGCTTCTTTTTGTAATTGTGACTGTAATTTTGAGGATTTGTTTTTGAAGGTTTGTTTTTTATCTTTTTATGTAAATTTGCTCTTGTTACCCGAAGCTCTTTTCCCTGAACAGACCTTCTTCAGCTCCGATCACTGAGCATTGTGATACTTTGTTTTTTGTGCGGGGCGCGAATTGTGCTTCTTGATTATTTTTTTATATGTTAAATCTCGTTATTTGGAGACAACGTTGCCAGATTAGGTTTTCTAGAATTTCCGAAAAGCTTTACTTTGTCTCGATTGCTTTAAATTTTTGCGTTTCTGAGGTAGATTTGTAGATTTTCCGGTACTTTGGCTACTTTAGACGAAAATTTGCGTTTAACTGGCAAATCTACATACGAACCGCGACGGTTAACGGCAAATTTACTGTTGCCTTTACTACGGAAAGCTACCGTAATTGAAAAGGTTTTACAACGTAGTGCAAATTGAGCCAGATTGCGGGATAATTGTAAGTTGGTGTGTCCTTTGGCGCCCGCCTGATTACGGTAGCTTTTGGGCTAATGTCACAACGAACTACCGTAATCTGATCCTATGGAGTATATGGTAGCTAAGGTGTGAAATGGGTTGCATTTGTTTATGGCAATTTAAAATACAGTACCCGTTTCCCCGGCTTTTCCTAACGCTTTTCGAATCCCCACACTGATATTTGGTCTGTGAACGATGTCAGTCTGTGAGTGAAACCCCGAATTTTTGGATAAACCTTCCCCAATTTCTGATATGATAACTGTAGATCACACTCATTTCTTGAGAAAAAGAAGGTACACAACTGTAATAGTGTTAAAATTTGATAGCGGTTTATGATATTTTTGTCTTGTTCCTTTTGTCAATAAATTGTTTTTAGTGTGGTTTCTGTTTTGAAAGGATGTCAAATTCGAGAGCGAAGAGATACTTCCAGTATCAATTTAGCCAAATCAGATAATGCTATGGAATTGAGCGATACAGTAAAACATGGGCGGAAGCGTTGGTGCCGAACTCTTGGTATTAGCCAGATTACCATATTAGCCAAATTGATATCCTGGATAAAATCTAATATGCTTTGTGGCGTGTTTTTAAAGTATAAAAAAGGTATTTATTTCCATATCCCGATTCAAAAACTGAAAACCGTTTGTGGCTCGTCCTTACGGTTTTCTAGAGCTGTGACCCGGTTTGCAATGGAAAATGGGGTTTTTGGAGGTTTGGACCCATAAAAAAATTGTTTGGGAGCAAGGAAATCATTTATTTATTCGTCACATATTCGCCGTAAAAATCACATTCTTTTTTTCAGCGATAAAGCTTTAAGGATCTAGCTGTCAAGTAGTAATCAGAAAAATCAGAAATCAGAAAAAAAGATTTTCTTTAATTCATGCCATTCGTAGCAGGTGCTAATTCGATAGCAAAAAGCGTGTGGAGGCCGATGAAAGTAAAGCATCTCCTGATCCTCCGCAAATACTATCTTCCCAACAAGTGGAATATGAGCTTCAAGGAAGATAGCAGTGAGTTGCTCGTAGTTCAGATCCGACCTCCTCACTAGAGCCCCTTCACATTCAAAGCGAAGAAAATCATTGAAATGATTGTTCTTCACGAAGAATTTCACACAATCCACGTAACTCTCCCAATTAACGTGCCTTAGTATGAGCCGGGCATCTTCTTTCATTAACAAAAGCTTTTCTTTGATAAGTTCAAAAGGAAGAAATCCCAAAGAGAGGAGCTCAAAGAGCGCCCAGCGATTCTCCATAAATCGCAGAAATTCACGCTTAGCGTCACCAGAAACACCATATGGAATATTGATTGTCATTCTTTTGCACACTTGGATCGCATTATACATTGAGAGAAGCGAGCGAGTGACGCTTGAATCTTCATTGAATTGGAAGTGTACGTGGTTCAAAGGCTTGCTCTTATTAAGCGGCAAAAACTTCTGGACATCAAATTTTGGGGCACTCGTCCACTTTTCCCTACAGCGTATTTCCAAATTGGAGAAATGGTCGAGCTTTCGAAAAAATCGCCCGTGAAGGGGATTCACTCGCACGTATCCGGAAAAGTACTCGTAGCTTACGAAAAAAAGCCGAAAGTCATCTTCTTGTGATCTGCTGTTATATAAAATATTAATGTCAATCGCACTTGCCACAATTCGTCCGTTGTCCTCATCTATATTCGCGTCAAACAGCTCCACTTGGACACCCTCTAAATTTGACAGGATTGGCCCGCAAAATCGGACGAATGAGCGCAGATCGTGATTCACTTTCAGCAATTGAAGTGCCTCTAACGCCTTCAATTTATGCAGAATCCGTGTTTTGAGAAGAGACGGCAAAGAAGGGAAGCTTTGGAAAGTCATCAATTTCTTTTATTAGGAAAAGAGTTATGTATTTGGATGATTGGAGGGCTGAAGGCGAGAAAAATGCCCGAAGCAAAGCAGCGCGAACGTAATTGGAGTCATATTTTGCCTTCTCTTTGTAAATTCCACATCTGCCCTCAATAAGATGGAATCAATAAGAGTGTGCAAGTCACGGGTACCTTTGTTAATTTCAAATGTCAGCAACTCAACTGCAAACAATATATCTGGACCAAAAAAAACAAGGAAAAATATCAGAAACGTTCATAATAACTTTTTGTGGGTTAGAGATCTAAAAAACCATTGTGATCTCCGGAACCAAAATTTGTGACCAAAAATCAATTGGAGGAAAGGAGTCAAGAGAACGGTTGTTTCAGGATTCGAATCCGAAAGTTGCAATTCGGATTTTGGCTTTTTTCCATGGTAAAATGACTTGTTTTTGAAAGGTCTTTCTTCTCGATCACACCGATAGTGTAACATTTCATTGTATTGTACAGTATTTATTCGTCACGTATAATCACATTTTTATGAGGCAAACATTTTGCAATTGGAATCATGTTTTTCCTTCTCTTTGAAAATTTCACATCTGGCCTCAGAATCAATAAGAGTGTGAAAATTCACCACAGACAAAACAGAACGGGGATTCGTAAAAGAAAAGGAAAAGCCGTAAAACGGATACGGCACTTTAAATTTCGATGCATTCGCTTTCGATTGTATTTCGATGATGATATAGTGATGTATTCGTGAAAACAACAATTACGTTGTATTCGTGAAGACGCGACGAGTTCCCCAAAATTTGATGTCCAGAATTTTTTGCCGCTTAATAAGGCAACCCAAAAAAAGTTATGGTTCAAAAGCCTCGAAATCAAATCGAAAAGCCACTTTTCAAGCAAAGATGAAGAGTTTTTCCATTTAATTTTTTTGCATACCTCTTTTCCGATGTTTTGACACTCGTTTGCCTTTGTCTTTTCACTTTATTGACATTCTCACTGATCCAATCAAATGTGTCACTTTCTCGGCGGGTTAATATGCGCTTTTTCCAGGTCTTTCTCAGTGGCAAGTTCTACGAGGTTTATCATTAGGAAATTGGCTCAAGTATTAGGTGGGCGACATTGAAATTTCGTTTTTGAACAACAACAAAATTTATTCGTAAAAAAAAACTAGAAACAGTTAATCAACAATATATTCCCCACAGCTATCAATAACATTTTTCTATCTTTGACGCAAATTATGGATACTCTCTCGAAAGAATTGTGCTGGTTTTGATTAAAAGAAAGCAGAGACCCATTTTTTGATGTCGTCCATGTTCTGGAACTTGTGGCTGTCGAGTGAATGCCGCATACTTCGAAAGAAATGGTAGTCGGACGGGGCAACATCTAGACTATAAGGCGGACGAACTAGAAGTTCTCAACCCAATTGCTCAGTCTTCTCTTGCGTAATTTTGGTTTTTTTTAAAAATAATTGTATTTGGCCTAATTTCCTAGTCATAAACCTCGTTGAACTTGCCACTGAGAAAAACTTGGAAAAAATGGCTATAAACCTGCCGAGAAAGTGTCACATTTGATTGGATCGGGGAAAATGTCAATAAAGTCGAAAAACAAAGGCAAACGAGTGTCGAATCGTAGGAAAAGAGAAAGAAAGAAAAAAACTGAGGGGGGAAAACTTTCCTTTTCTCCATAAAAAGTGGTTTTTACATTTGATTTTGAGTCTTTTGACCCATTGCTTTTCTTGGGTTAGAGATCTAAAAAAACCATTCTGATTTCAAGAATCTAGCCAAGATTTGTGACAAAAAAAATCAATTGGGAGTAAGGAAATCAAGCCAATGGCTGATTCAGGATTCGATTCTGCAAGTTTTAGGCCGGACTTTGGCTCTTTTTCAGTGTAAAATGACTCGTCTTTGGAAGGTTTTTCTTCTCGCTCTCACCGATATGGTAACATTGCATTTTGGTGTACATTATTTATTCGTCACATATTCGCCCCAAAAATCACATTCTTTTTCAGTGAATAAACTCTAAGGATCTAGCTGTCAAGTAGTAATCAGAAAAGGCTGAAATGAGAGACTTGAGAAAATGAGACACATTGCATGAAATTACACAACTTGAGGATCAATAAAACAGAAGTTTTTGCCGCTTAATATGACTTTGTAACGCGTAGGCTTCGAATTCAATAAAGATTCAAACGTGACTCGCTCGCTTCTCTCAATGTATAATGCGATCCAAGTGTGCAAAAGCATGGCAATCACTTTTCCACGTGACAATCGTGACGTTAATCGTGTCTGTTTGCAATTTCTTCCTTTTGACCTTATCAGGGAACATCTTTCGTTCATGAGAGAAAATGTGCGGCTCACACTATGGCTCGATAATTGGGAGAGTTTCGTGGATTGTGTGAAATTCTTCG